TGAGCCCCCAGTAATTCAGATTGTCTGGATTATTTCCCAGATACCCATTGCCATATTCCTCTGAATCTTTTACAATCTTCACTTTACTCTGCTCCGTTCCTTCCCCTCAGGAGAAAAGCACCTGGTAAGCAGCTCTACCAAGGTAGGCAAGGAATGGAGAAGTTGCTTTTTACAATGTGAAGTAACATTCTTCTATTATATATTCTGCCTGTATATCTCACATCTTTCACAAAATGTTTCATTCCCTCACAATTAGGTGGATGTAATATGCATATGCCATTTTCTTAATACTAATATTGCTTTGATTTTCACAGTCAAATTCCCAGAATGTCTCTTCTAAGTTACCTTCCAATTTTTATATAAGAACTGGATTGCATAGGCACATAAGGTCACCATTTCTTTCTATAACACAGCATTCTAATCGTGTGTTCCTAGGCAGCAAACAAATCTTTAAAAAGCCAATGGGTTACACAAGGTGTAATATCTGATCAAAATTTTGTTCCTTTAAATAATACATATTTTGTTAATCTGATCACCCCTGGATATATTTATATATATGTGTGTGTGTGTATAATCTTTCAACAAATTATAATAATCTGAAACCAAATTTGGTGCTAAATTATGTAATGAAGGTTAGAAAAATTGTCATTCTTTAACAGTTGTTCTAGAAGTCTCAATAAATAATCTAGAACAGTGGTGGGCAACCTGCGGCCCATCAGGGTAAACCATGGCCACTGGGAGCTGCGGGCGGTCAATGTAAACAAATAGTCTTGTGGCCCACCAGCAGATTACCTTGACGGGCTACAGGTTGCCCACCACTGACATAGAATGTTTAATGTTAACAACAAAACAAAGTACTTAAAAATAAAGAACAGAAATAATGTGCTGAAATAAGCAGAGTACTTAATGTTATTAATGAGAAAAGATGCTAATCATTATGACAAATTGTCTTTATAAATCAGATTAAGTACTAAAAATTAACAAATTACACCAGCCTTTATGATACTTTAGGTACTTACCTTTACATTGATGAAGATAAATATCTAGAGTTGGTACTGTTGTAAGGTTCCCTCCCGCCCCGCTTATCTCTAAGCATTTCTACAAACAGGTAAAACTGCTTTTGAGACTTTGTTGTTTTTGAAGGGACATGGTCAGGTAGTTTAGACACATGATCTAGGTTTTGTAGCAAGAATCCTTTTTCATTCAATGTTTAACATCTTCATTTGGGATTTTAACATTCTGCACTAGGTAGTGCATAAGCACTAGAAAGTGAAACCTACTATAACGAGGCCAACCTGTCACCATACAGAGAGTGACTGATTAAAAGGGAGAACGTTATATAAATTTTTATTCTCCCATTCTCTGTCTAGTAATACTGGAAAGGAAAAACAAGTATCCAATATAATTTTGAGCCTAAATGTCCCCTTAATGTCTTTTGCAACAAAGCAGAAACAGTTACGGTAGTATAACTTCAAAGCTCAGCACTCATTTTTCATGACAAAAATACTCAACCAGCATCATGCAACTGTTTACTTTTTTTTTGTCAGCCCCAAAAAATTAAATGAAGTTAATTTTTTTAATTTAATTACTAAACAACACTATTTTGTTATTTGTTTGATTAGTCAGGATGTTTTAAAGTGCTTGATAATGCTTACAAAAAATTCAAAGTTGCTTTTAATACAATTTCAGTATAGCAAACTTAAGAAAAAAAAAGTACAGGTTGAGTCAACTGATCACACTCATCCATCCCACATCCCCACACAGTAGAAAAGTCAGGGTAATCAAATCCCTTTTGGTAGATTATTTTTCTCTTGCATAATGACAGGTTTCAGAGTAGCAGCCGTGTTAGTCTGTATCCGCAAAAAGGAGTACTTGTGGCACCTTAGAGACTAACAAGAGACTATGCATCCGAAGAAGTGGGTTGTAGCCCAAGAAAGCTTATGCTCTAATAAATTTGTTAGTCTCTAAGATGTCACAAGTACTCCTGTTATTTTTCTCTTATAATACAAAGAGACACTATAAAGGAATAATGCTGTGTCAGAGCAGCTGGGAGAGGCAGTCCAGGTGGATAACTGCTGGGGGATCAGAAGCTTGATGTTTACACTACACTTCTGTAGTTCAAAGCAGAAGGGAAAATGGTCTACAATTTTCACTAATCCCTTTGGGTCAGAAACAACTTGTAGATGGATATGAGGGGTAAAGAAATTTGGCCCTTGGCATTACATGGTGGGGTGGCAGTGGAAACAACTGAAGCTGGGGTTGTTTATAATTTAGTTACAAAAAAAGGTTTGTTTCTTCCTGAGAACTCCTCAGATATAGGTCAGTTGAGATCAGCTTCGGCACAGTCTGATCTCTGCTTTAGAACAGAGGTTTGTGATTTAAAAAAAAAAAATCCATGTAGGAAAGATCACAACAGGCCTGACAATTCAACACTGTTGACTTTTTCAAATTTGCTCTTGCACAACTCCTGCTATTAGTTGTTGCTTTCAATTTGCACTAAGACGTTCCCTACTCTTCTCAATGTACATGTGTGTTAGAATACAGCCCATAGGGTCATAATTGACCTTTACAGGATTTAATTCCAGGCGTTCCCCTCAAAAGATGATGGTGTCTTTTACTAGCATTGACATACAGTGCAACTGCGAGCTAATAAATGCTATTACTAAGTAGTCAGTGTGACCATGTCTAGGGTAGGAAAACAGGTTATATTTTTAAAATGTGTTTGCTAGCTAACACATTTTAAGTAACAGGACTTCACAGAGGACTTTGCACATAGTGTACTTAGGGCTAATCAAAGCATTGGTTCGGCTAGTTATGGTTAATCCTAGGGGTAGCCATTTAAGTAGAGAAGAGCTTTCAAACTGATTCCTTCCCCCTGTGAGGAATGGCTATCGCTTACAGATGACGTATGAGATGATAAACATGAACTATAAACAACCTTAGCTAAAAGCAGAAGCTAAATTTAAGAACAAACCACAGTGACATTTGAGTAACAAAATTATATAGCTTGTACTGGGTTGTTTTAATTGCAAACCAAGCAGTAGCATCTCAAACTATTTTACTTTTACAGAAGGAAATACCATTCATGCTGTTCACTCAAATCAAATATAGTTTTACTTCAATACTCAAACTTTATGTAAGTAATAGTTTTAAACAAAAGTTGTCAGTCAAAAACAAGGAAAAAAACTCCCCCATCAATCCCTGAACATAGGTTGTTTGAACCGCACCCACCTTTTTCATTCCTACACCCTGCCAGTTCCAACATTATTCCTTGTATTGGAAATGAGGAAGACTACATGACCCAGCAAGCCCTAACACTGTCTACATACACCAAATAGCCGGAGGCATTCAGGATTAGTATACATTTTTGCAGGTTTATTAAAATTAACCGTTCTCATTGCCATCTTTTTTAATTCCCTTCTCAATTCGGACCCGATGTCTCCTGATCAGCTAGCGTTTAAGCCGCTTGCAAGGTGGATTGTGACTTTTTTCAGATGGCACTAAGTGCTGTCTCTAGCAGTTTGTGATATATTAACCACCACATTAATGTTTCAAAGGAGAGAGGAAGCAGCAAGTTACCATGATGTCATTGATGACTTGGAGTGGAGCGTATGCTTACAAAAGTTGCAGATAACACCAAGATAGGAAGACGTTGCAGGCACTTTGGGGGAAAGGATTAGAATTCAAAATTAGCTTGTAGAATTGGTCAGAAATCAAAGTACTTCACTTAAGGAAGAGAAAGGGAAAAAAAAGGACTAATTGGGTTGGTGGTAGTCCTGCTGAAAAGGAGTTGGGAGTTATAGTGGATCACAAACTGAATATGAGCCAACAATGTGGTGCAGTTGTGAAAAAGGATAATATTCTGGTGTGTATTAACATTAATGTATATGGAAGACATGGAAGATAACAGTCCTGCGCTACTCCATAGTAGTCAGCCTTCAGCTGGAGTCCTGTGTCCAATTGTGGGTGCCAAACTTTAGATAAGACATGGATAAATTGGAGAAAATCCAAACAAGAGCAACCACAATAATAAAAGGGTTAGTGCACTGGTCCCCAAACGGTGGGGCACACGGAGGAACGTTCGGGGCAGGGAGAGCCTGGCAGGGCCCAGGTCAACCTCAACAGGCAAAGAGACAGTGCTACCCAGTCCTGCCCCAGCCTCAGCAACGGCTTCGCACCTGGCCACCAGCCCCAGCCTTGACCCCTGGCCAGGGCTCCACTCCTAGCCCTGGCCCTAGCTACAGTCCCTTACCCCTGTGCACCCCAGGCGAGTTGCAGCCATGCTCCCGGTGCCAGGGGGGCAGGACAGGGGTAAGGACATGACCCTGAAAAGTGTGAGGACCACTGATTTAGAGAATCCGACCTGTGAGAAAAGATTTAAAAAAAAAACAGAGCCTGTTTAGTCTTGAAGACTGAGAGGGGAACCTGGTAACAGTCTTAAAATATGTGAGGGGTTGTTATAAAGAGGATGGTGTTCAATTGTTCTTGTACTTTCCATGAACATGGTGACGGAGTGGGACTAGGTAGATGGAACATTTTCCCTAATAGCTATAAAGCTAGTTAAATACTGGAACAGGCTTTCAAGGAATGTTATGGAGTCCCGTCATTGGAGGTTTTTAAGAACAGATTGGACAAACACCTATCAGGGATGGTCAAGGTTTAATTAGTTCTGCCTCAGCGCAGGGACCTGCGCTTGATGACCGTGAGGTCCTTTCCAGCTCTATATTTCTATGATTCTGCCAGGTAGAGACAGGAATGTGATACTCTGTGCCATGAAAAAACTGAGATTTTCACCATCCCAATGGCATAGATTATTAGACTGTAGCCCGCATGGTGCAAGCGATATTGGACTTTAAAACTGCCCCTACTCAATCAGTCCAGCAGTGCTGTTTCTGAACTGATCCAGGCTTACAAATGGCAAGTTTGACCTTGAAGCACTGTATCTTTCATTCCCTGAAGGGAGAGGGGCAGTATAAATATGCTGCTGTAAAATACATGCTACAAAGTCTATTGTATTGTGTGTCTATAATATGAATAGAGAATCTCGCTTATAGTAAAATAAAGGAGATGAGATGTTATAATTATTAATTTATAAAACAGCTCTTTGTGAAATGCGACTATTTCATATCACTATTTATTTAATGATGCAGTAATTTCTAAATTCCCTATAGAAACTATCATTCTTTACAAAATTTGACTTTATATTTGTCAATGTATTTAATCTGGATTTTTTTGCATTTTATAGAATTTAAATTCCCACAGCAAAATCTCTTCCTATGCAATACTGTACACATTAAAGCAACAAGTTAAAACAGAAAACAAGCAGTGTACAGTATTGCACATTTAGATTACTAAGTCAACAAACAGTAATCTGAATTTACCTTTCCTTCCGCCACTGACCTACTATAAATACAAAAGCTAATGGAGACATAAAAATGAATCAACACCTCCTGCAACTGTGACTTTCTTGTTCCAAATCTGTGGCTCTGTCCCAGTAGAACAGCTGGGAGATTTTACTGCTTCTATAGCAACCATGTCATCAGCCTGTTGGCTTGACAACAATGCATGAGAAGAAACAGTTAAGAATGGTCCAACTGTTAACTCAAAAGGTGCTTTTTCAGGTTGTGTTGCTAAATGTCTATTTGCTGTTCAATTTAATAAATTTTGCAATAAAAAATCCTATACAGTCTTTATTTGCCAGCAAGATCAGGTCTTCTTCCCTGGAATCCTGCAAAGAGTTAATATCCATTCCACGTGACGTCACACTGGATGGATCAAACCTCTGCAGCAGCTTCAGCTGATCAAGTGACAATCCAGCTCCCATCATGCCTTCTCCTCCAATACGTGGTTCCTTTTTTAAGTGAGAAAGTAAAGCAGTTTATTTACATTAGTCTGCAATTACTGTTGTTTTGATTAATTAAAAATACACATTAAAATATGAACTCAAGAAATTATGTATAGAAGGATGAAGTGTAACATACTGGTAGAATAATTTTAATTGAACATCTTTGGTATATTTATTATACAATTTCTATATGAGCCAAAACCAAGCTGATTCTAGCTGCTGGAGTTTGTTTTGTTGTATCCGTTTCATAAGGAAAAGGAAAGAGCATTTTAGCTCATGCTACTGGAGATCTATTTACAAGAAATCATAAAATGTCTATGGAGATATTGTGGGAATGCACCGTTTAATGTCACTCCCTAATCTGAAAAATTAGACCCAAAAGACCAGTACTTCATACACATAATACAGGTGGTGACCAAAAAAATCTATACACTATACAACAGGTACAAGAAGGTAGCACATTTAGTCTTAAAGTGGCAGAAATGTAATCCCAACTCTAGATCAGTTGGTAGCAGAATTAGATAAAACCGTTTGTCATTCAGCTGAAATATCCAGTATTTACACACAGTATGTGCCTGCTACATATATAGCTCCATGGGAAACGATAGTGAGTCAAAGTTGTTCAACTTCATGAGTGAAATCCCAACAATACTGAAGTCAATGGAAATTTGCCATTTACTTCAATGAGAATTTTGCTTTATAATTTATAAGGATTTTTTTTTTCTGCTAGTAAACAAAGCATTTTGGATATGGTAGGTGTAACCTGGAAACTCCCAGGAAGTGGATGGCAAAGACGACTATATTCATATCAACAGGCAATAGAGGAAACATGGGCATATGATAATCTTCAGCACAAGCCCCAGCACTGTTAAATGTTGGATAGTGCATCTTTTATTTTCTTCTACTGCTAAACACAACCAGCCACTCTTATTGTCATACCCCTATCCCAAACTCTCTTTTTTTAAAAATTTCAATTAAAAGATGCACCAATTACTTGATCTAGGCACATTAACTAAGTGCACAATTACAATATTTACATGCTAAACCAAAAGTCAAATTGGCTTTTCCTCAACCATATAATACAGTAAAATTAACAATTAATCCCCTTAACACCCTGCCTAAGTGGAAGCCTAGGAGAACAGAACTATAGCTGGTCTGATGATCAAATCTCTCAAAGTATTAGTATAAACAGCGAGAGAGGGATCTTAGAATAGCTGCATTCAAAGATCACACTTATTTTCATACCCCTACTATCTGCAAATATTGGCTCTGAAATGAACTAGATATTGTAACAGAACTATTTCAGCTGACATGTCTATGATTCTGTGGATAGATATCATACACCTCTGGCAGAATGACAATGCCTTTGACTAATCGTGGTTTTCACCTGCGGCCCCTGTGACATCCTCAGGGCCATACAGGTAGTATTGGATGAAGCCCACATAACACATTGTGGGCCATATATGCGGCCCACAACGGTAATTAGGTTGAGAACCACTGCTGTGGAAGGGTGACTTACATATACAGTATTAACAACCATCTTTGAATTCTTCCCTCCTACCCCACCCCACCCCACCAGCAGTTTTTTACGTTTTCTTCCATCCTTAACATGATTCTTATAGCTATTTCAATAGCATTAATTAAATTTATTTTGCCCTTCCTGTGAGGTACTGAAATAAAAGAACAACAAATATAAATATGCATTAAGAACAAGAGCTACAAGGAAAATGCTAGCCTGTCTTGAACTATCTATGATCCCTTTCTGTTTTAATGACTGACTGGTGTACAGATACATGAAACCACCGCAATACACTGGTCGGGGTATGAATGTAAAGCCATTTAATCTCCCTTCAGTGAATTGCAATTAGATATGTGCTGATTCACTATGAAAATCACCATGTGTCCTATAGCCCTCAACCTCTCATGTTACCTAAGGTGAAATTGGCTAGTTGTTACAAAGCACATTGCTGCAGCAGCATACAGCATCTAGAATGCTAACAGAAGACCTCATGAAAGACCATTTTCCTTGGTCAACGCTGTGTTGTCGCTTACCGGTGACAAGACTTTCTTGTTCCTCAAATACTTTTACTTGCAAGTCCATTTCTATCTATGGATGTTACATACCAGGAGTTTCAGTATTTGCTACTTAGTGGATTTACATTTATTTTATTGTATTCTTCTGAGAAATATCTTACCATACAACAGAAAGGAGTACTTTAAGTGTCATGGCACAGCCATTATTGTAATGACACAGATCAAACAGATGTAAAAAAAAAAAAATCCACATGCTGTTCAGATCTGCAGCAACTAAAAATGCCTGCAATGAGCAAAATGTGTTTTATGAAATCATACACCATTTCTTCATTGTTTCCAGAGTAGCATCCTACAACAGAATTCTTCACCCTATCTCTTAAAATTCCAGTGCTGATACTTGCATACTGAGTTGCATGTAGTAAATTGAAACTATTCCTACCTGTGACTGAAGCTGGAGGCAGGGAAAAGTTTCCAGGGCCCAGGCGACCTGCTCCTCATTTTCAGACAGTGTAATTGTACATGTACTATACACCAAAGTGCCCCCTGGCTTCAGCAATTTCACTGCCTAGAAAGAGATTGTGGTTCAGCTTGTATGGTATAAACATCTTAAATACAGAATTATTTTAAACACTATAGTAGTATATTAAGTTTTCTTAACAGTTAATTATGATTTGCATATTTATCTGGAACCATTATGGTACAGTAGGTAAATGTAACACATATTTAGGCCAGAATCTTTCTGTCTAAGACTCAGGCATACTGCTAATTGTATAGACATTTTGTCCCTTTCAAGGGATGTCATATAAGTTCTAACATTTCCAAGTTCACTTCTGGAAGAAGGATCAGTGTTTGTATTACAGAAGCCTACCAATTAGAAAGCCTTTTCTGCCCTTTTAGCATTAGAGCTTGTGCATCTTCCTGGGCTGAGGGAAGTGACCTCTCCCCTCAAGATCTATAAAACAGCTGTCTAGAAAGCTCTGTGTAACTCATCCAGATGTAGGTTAGATTTGTTTTCATCAGCTGAAGCCAAATGTGGACATAGAGTCCTATTACTTTACTTTAATTACACAAGTTCAAAGACACACTGAAGAATCTTTACATATCTACATATGTTTTAAGGCTGAAAGATTAATAGTACCTGATACCTGACACCATCTCCTTAGGAAAAGCAGAAGTCTTTTGAAAGAGAGGAAAACAACTGATCTTGTTTTATAAATATCTGAAGGGTTCTAGGCAAGGATTTAAATTTTCCTTCCTCTCTTTGACTCAGTCAGCTGTGAATATGGAAAAACTGAGCTGAACACAACTTCTTTTCTTTTGCCATCTTGTTCTGAGCAAGACAATATGCAATGGAGGGATCTAAAAGAAGACGTGTCTTGGAAGTAGGAACCAGAGCACCAAGACTTCATAGGATTCAGTTGGTTCTGCTGATGGTCTATCCAAGAAATGAACATCCCTCAAGTGTAGACTAGTATATGATAAGGATACAAAAATAGGAAATCCCCAAACCAATTTGATGATACAAGAAATAGTACAGTTCTCTTCAACTTAAGAAGAGATGGGTGGGTAAATCCATTGCAGTAGGGGGAATATCAACTGGAGCTTGAAATTTTTATCAGTGAGGTGTACTTGTCTACCAGAGGGTGAGCTGGCCTTTTAGGGGCAAGTCTGGGCCAAACACATTCCTACTCCAATCCCACCCCTTTTAGGTCAGGTATTCTGGGAATGATGGCTAGAAGCAAAGCCTGCTGGAAAACAGGGCAGGATATATAGGCAGAAAGATTATTCCTGGTCTCTCTCTCACTCATCTGGGAAATGCAAGACCTACTATAGGTCTCTCTATGATAAGGAGGGAGCTGGAGAAGTGCACCAGCTTACTGGTGGGGCTCACCCAGGATGAGGGAAGGCCTTGTGTGGGTCTCTCTCTGGTGGGGAGGAGCTGGAAGGAACAGAAGCTTGTCAAGGAGGGCTCTCCAGGGGCTGTACCAAGTTTGGTGATGATTCCCTGCTGAGAGGGAGCTAGCAAATGAGCCCAAATGGAGCAATGTGAGTCAAGAAGCCTGTGACAGGACCTGAAAGGAGTCTTACAGACTATGCAGAAGACTCCTGGGGAGAGGTGAAAGAAGGTGTAAGACAAGTCCTGGGGCAACAAAGCAGCAGCATAGTCTTGAGACCTAGTTATTTAGAGGCCTAGGCTTGGCTTACACAGAAGATGAGAGGAAAGCCTCTGCACTTTCATTCTCTGATCAAGAAGAATGACCAGGGAAGACCCTGGAGAAAAGCAATGTCTAGCTCAGGCTGAGTCCTGCACTAAGAGCTGGGGGAAGGCAAAGGTCCATCAGCAGTGCCAGTGACCAGGACTCAAAGCCTGTGACCCAGGGAGCAGCAAAGAACTGGTGTAGACCCTACATACAAAGGGAAGGAGTCAGCCCAGGAACAGGGAAGCATTATTTTATAGAAGCCGTTCATTTCAGACTTTTATTTGCTCTGGATGGAAGACTTTTGTTCCTCTGGACAATACACCATACCATCCAAGTACCAGAGAGCCAGGAGAAACTGAGGGACGACTGCATTCAGATGAGGTAAGCTGCACCCATGTAATCCTTACCTGTAAAACTATTTATGTGCAGTTTTCTTTAGCTGCTTAATGAGTCATACATACCATGCTGAAAAGCTTGCGTTGCAATGGCTGATAAGACGTCACTTCTTTTAGAGTCCAGAAATAGGCCATATTTGGTCTCTGTCCCATCCCACTACAAGGAACATCAAGAAGAATTCGATCAAATGACTCTGCTGAGAATGGAGGGCCTTCTGCAAAAGGCAATTGACATTTTTAAAAACTGCAGCAAAACCAGTTAGTTATACATTACACACAGCCTTTGTTTCTCTTCTTGAGCCTTCACCTGTAGATACAGATGCTCCCCAAGTTACACAAGACCCGACTTACGCAAATTCGCACTTACGGAAAAAGTTCCATAAGCCAGAAATAGGATTTTTGAGTTGCGGAAACTTTTGCATAACATACAGATATACGTTTCTGACTTACGCAAAATTCGAGTTACACAAGGCTTTCCGGAATGGAACGATTGCATAAGTCGGGGGGCATCTGTAATGACAAGCTGTCACTGAATGCCTGACATGAAGTGTTTGAGGGTTTGTGCTGCAAAAGTGACCTAATCTACAAGTAAGGAGCAGCACAGCTAGTAATGACTCTAGATTTCATTTCTGAGAAGAAAGCATTTTACTTATGACTATCTTTACAACACTGTGAACTTAAACAACTTGAAATCAATCTAGGCTTAGCATTTCTCAACCCTAATTTTTAATGTACTGAAAGTACAATATTAAAAAAAAAGTGCCAATGAAAACAGGACTTGGGAGGTAAGCTCTGGAATGTGACATAAGGTGGCTCCAAAAATTACAATAAGAACTATTCAGAGTTGCTTGTGTGGAGGAAGGGAATTTGTAGTTATCCTGAATCTGTCCCTTCTCCTGAATCCTGCTGGGCTGTACAACCCAGAAGTTCTTACAATACCAAGAACAGGGTGACTCCTCAGTTCAGGATCTCAGAGGCAAGAGAAACTGGTTCCCCACATACATCTGGAAGTAGACAGCGAGGGAGAAAGTTGTAGCTACTCATGCCTACCAAAAATTCAATTTAGATCACAAGTGAAAATGAGTTGGTGGCTTCATCCTACAGCTACCCAGCAATATGCCAGCACTCCCCAAACAACTATATTTTGCAACTATCTGGCATGACTAGCAGCTGTTGCCCAAGAGAGACTGTGGACTAGAATACAGAGCATTTTGCGAGACTTAAGTGCAGAGATGTATAGTAAAGCCTGAATAGATTTTACCTGTACTATGCCTGGCTCTTTCCACTGCTGCTGCTTCCTCACCTGCATAAGCACTAAATACCACCTATTATAAAATACATATATATTTGTTGAAAAAAATTACGAAAATGCTACATTTGACCTTGGAAATCAATCTGACTGTAAGCTATGGGGCATTAACAAGGACTGCCCCACATGTGGAAAGTGCATGAATTATGCAACCAAACCCTTAGTTTTGCTAGCTACTGACCTTGCTGAAAAAGCAGGGAAAGGCCATTAACAGTTCCTTTTGGAAAAGATACAGTTTAGTTTGCATAGCAAATGAAAAAGAATCAAAGACAAAATATACCGTTTAAAAATTTCCATCCTGGGAACATAACCAGAGTCATCAATACAGCACCTCAGAAAAGCAAATGAAATGAACCTAAAATAAAAGTAATGCTCTATGCTTCTATAGCACCTCCCATCTGTCTCTGTTAAATAGCTATACAAACATTAACAAACTAAGCTTCACAGTACTCCTGGGAGTTAAATATTAATATCCCCATTCTACAGATGGGAATTCAGAGGCACACAGAAGCTAAGAGATCTGCCAAAGTCACTTATGTGACAGAACCAACAAAACCCCAAAAATTCAGAGTGTGGGCTTAAACACTATCATGAAGAAAGGCTTAACAGGCAGTCTCTCTGATCTTATCTGGAGAAGGAATGAATGCCTCCTTAAGCACATTAGGCTGCAATAAGGACAGACACTTAAGAATTTTGCATGTGCAGTGCTGAGAAACTGATAATTGCAGAAGAGTAGAAAGTAAAATATCCACAGTGTTGAAGCACCCTGGGTATATGCCAATGTTTTTGAATATTGTGGCAGGTTTAACAGCACTAGCAAAAATATGATTATCATTTTCTTCTAAAAGACAGTATCAAAATTCTTAAAATCATTTACTTTACCTTGTCCATCTTCTTTCTTCCCAATGGCAAGTGCCTTAGTTCCATCACAGCAAAATGCTTTAATACAATTCAGCTGCAACAATGCTGCATTCTGCTTGATTTTTTTGACTTTGTTAGCTATCTTGTCCATGGCTATCACTTCACCCTGAAAAAGTGAAGTGTGCACCAAGGTAGTGGTTAAAATGATGATTAGCTGCAGCAATACCTGTTACCTTTCATTTAAGCTCCAATTCATAACACACACATTTTTCTCTACTTTAAAAATAAATTCTGATACGAAAATGTTAATCTAAATTTTGTGGGGTTATTTAAATTGGAAGAAAAAATGTAATTAATACATTCATAAAATTTTTTCCTTTTTTCTGATCATCTCTACAACTGGTCAGAAAATTTTCATTGAATATTTGACTAAAAATGGGACAGAAGGAAATCAGTAATGTTTTCATATTTATCAACCAGCTTTAATTAATATTTTAATGGACTCCCTCCCCAAAAGTGTCTACATTATCTGATGTACTAATGTAATATACTGATGTTATAATATTAATGTCTCAAAAGTACATCACAAGATTTCACTCAAACATTTTAGAAATATTATTTATTAAATGCAACATGGAAAATGATAAATGTAGGGGGGAAATGGACTTTACAAGCAGAAAAGCAAAGCAAAGCAGACAAATTAGAGGAGCCTTATTTTATACATGTTCAGGAAGTACATTAATTTATATAATTCCAATTCAATAACTGCATTCTCCTGAAGCTTTACTCCTGTGGTCTGAGGTTGGTAGAGTCTCTGGATGGAATTACAGTTACACATAATAAGAGGAACACTTTTTCCTTATAAATCAAAAATATTTAATGTCTAAAAGTTGCAGATGCAGCACCAAATTATGAAAAATGTGTCTCATGCAAAAACTGTAGATGGAAGTAAATCAATGGCAAAGGCACATTGCTATATAGAAGCTCTTCATCACCACACTGAAGCTCTTCATTTGTAAATTTCATGGCTCTACCTACTGAATGCCTAATGCATGTTTGCAATTTTCCTATATTGAAGGGCTGGCCACTTCCCTAAGCACCACAATGATTATTTCAAGCAGACTGTCACATACAGCAAATTGTATGGCTTTTTAAAGTACACACAACTAACCATTGCAAAGTCCTACTGTGAATGCACGGATAACTACTGAAGTGCAATCTGTTGTAAACTGTAAGATCTCTCTAACTCACCTCACATTTTATACATTCCAGTCAAAAATGACAATTCAGCTAATAAATGTTACATTTTCTTGAAATTACTAAAATAGACCCCCCCCCCCCCCCCATGTAAAAGAACAACCTCATAGCCCTTTCCTTCAGACTGACCATGCCTTGGTATGGGCAAGTCCTTACCTCTCTCCCTATATTTTTTTTGGAAGGACATAGTGCTTGTGTGTGTTTTCTCCTTTGTCTTCCTTCAACTGTTAAATTTCATGCATCCCTTTCACGTGTAATAGACTTTCTCCTTTTGTCAAACATACAACTTTCATTACGCCTTCCAATATTAAGCACTCACAATGCCTCCACGGCCTGTTGCAACTGATCCATTTTCCCACATCAATTACTAACCTTTTGTAAGTGCTGTTCTTTAAGATATGTTGCACATGTCCATTCCACTTTTGGCGTGCATGCACCCCGTGCACAGTCACTGGAGATTTTTCCCTTAGTGGTACCTGTTTGGGCAGCTTGAGCACCCTCTGCTGCTGTGTGCCCCTGCGTGCCGGTAAAGGGCCCAACTACCCCCGAATGCCCTCAGTTCCTTCTTGCCAGACAACTCCAATGCAGAGGGGTAAGTTAGTTGACTGGGTAATATGAAAATTAAATACCACTTCAGAGAGAAATCTCAGATAAGAGCACAAGTACACCTTTATCCTTAAAAAAGCTTGTATAAGGTGATTCAGATGTCAAAGCATGCATTTCGACCAACCTCCTGGCTGAAGCAATAGCTATCAGGAAAGCCACTTTTAGAGACAGGTATAGTAAGAAGCACATTGCTGAAGGGTCAAACAGTGGCCCTATGAGCTTTCACAAAACTAGGTTCAAGTCCTAGGAGGGACAGGTTCTCTTATTTGAGGGTACAACTTTTTCTGGCCCTTCACAAATCTGAATGTCATATCACCAAAAAATACAGAATGGTTATCCACATGAAGATGGAAAGCTGATATTGTTGCCAGCTGATAGAACTCTGAGCTACCAAAGCTGCTTACATTCATAATGGAGGCATTTTTCTATTTGGTCTTGTCAATCTGGGGTCTCGTCAAAGCAGTCCTCTATCCAGCATGTCCTGGACTATCTATTGCACCTAAAACAGCAGGGGTTAGCGATTTCTTAAAGTAACTTTTCTCCTCCTCCTCCTTCTTTTCCATCTTCTCCTTGGAGATGCAGACATGTCTTCCAAGCAGATGACTAGGCCCTCGGAGCTCCTGCTGGGAAGCAGGGCTTGGGGCTTGCCCTGCTCTGGCGCTCCAGCCGGGGAGCAGGGCCGGGGGCCGCCCTGCACAGCTCCCGGAAGCAACGGCATCTCCCCTCTCCGTCTCCCACGCGTAGGGGCAGCCAGGGGGCTCCGCTCCACATGCTGCCCGCATCCCAAGTGCCACGCCCGCAGCTCCCATTGGCTGCACCTCTGCGTAGGAACCAGAGGGGGGACATGCCGCTGCTTCCAGGAGCCGCCTGAGGTAAGCACTGCCTGGAGCCTGCATCTCTGAGCCACCCCCCTGCCCTGATCCCCCTCCCACCCTCAGAACCCCTCGGTCCCAGCCCAGAGCATCCTTCTACACCCCAAACCCCTCATCCCCAGCCCCACCACAGAGCCCGCACCCCCAGCCTGAGCTCTCACTCCCCCCTGCACTCCTCCCTCCCTGCCCCAGCCCGGAGCTTCCTCCCGTACTCTGAACTCCTCATTTCTGGCCCCATCCTGGAGCCCACACCCCCAGCCAGAGCCCTCACCCCCTCCTGTACTCCAACCCCAATTTCGTGAGCATTCATAGCCCGCCACACAATTTTCATACCCAGATGTGGCCCTCGGGCCAAAAAGTTTGCCCATCCCTGGTCTAAGTTATCCCTCTGGTGTGAAAAAGTAGCAAAAGGAACAATAGAAATGTTCCCTTTGGCAAATGCAGCAGATCCTGCTGGCAGTATTTTGGTCAACATTGTTTGTGAGCATTTGGAAAGTCTGGAAGAAAATGTTATTTAATATTTTCCTTCAATTAATATAGAAGATTTCGACTGGGTCGAAGATCCTTGAAGTTCCTCTGCAATGCAAAGCGTTAAGAATGTGGCAATAATGGCTCAAGGTCAGCTTGCCAAATTAAAATGGTTCACACTTTGAAAATAAAGGTTGATGACATGCTATTGGACTCTTTCTGGTTGAAGTGGGAGGCGAATATCCTGTAATCTCTGACCATGCTATCTCCATTCTGCTGCCCTTTTCAACAACATACCTGTGCGAGTTAAGTTTTTCAAGCCTGACTTACATCAAGAACAAACAGAGAGTGTCTGAGGTCCGTGGAACAAGAGTTCAGGGTGGCACTGTCAACATTTGCTCCCAGGATTAAATGAGTCTGTGCACCAAGACAAGCTCAGCTGTCTCATTAAAAGTTTTTTTTTGTTATTTTTATTTTTTTATATAATTTGTGGTCACTCATTACAGACTGTGAATCTCAGCATGCATCACTGCTCTATTCATTGAAATCAGGGCAGCATTTTGGAGTTCCATTCCACATCAGATAGTGCTAGGCTTGGATCTCTGACCTGGAGTTAGGCATTTGATGATGCTCACTTCCAAAGCCATACAAAAAAAGAAGTGCCTCAAAGATGAAAAGGTAATACCATAAATCTTGATATATAATATTGTTAGTTGAGGTTTCTTGAATGGTACAACTTTTGTATTATTTGTTGTTCATCATATAATAAAACAATTTTTTTATTTGGCATCTTGTTGGTGTGAATGTGTGAGTCAACTGAAAATACTTGTCACAGTCTGTACAAGATAGTTATTGATCTTAGACTGTAACATAACTAACAGTATTGTACAGACTGTGAATGCCAAGGGTGGTAAACAGCTTAAACTGAGACAATAAGAGGCAGAGTTCATTTGGAGACAATATGGTGGTGTGCCTCAAAATAATTAACGGTGTGCCACAGCAGAGAAAAGATTGCAAACCACTTATCTAGAAAACTATCTACAATTAATTTACAATGAACACAAATATTAAGAGCACTTGCTAAGGCAAGCCAAGAGATTCCAACGACCCTCACGAGAGGAAGAAGGAACTGAGGAAGCTATCGGGCAGTTGGGCCCTTTATACCAGTGCACAGTGGTGCGCTGCAGCAGAGGGTGCTCAACTTGCCCAAAAGGAAAAATGTTCAATGACTGTGCACGGGATGCACACATACCAAAAGGGGAATGCACATGTGCAATCACTCAAAGAACAATGAGTGTGCTTTAATACAGTATCGTTTCAAACTGCATTATACATTAAAGCTCACCGGGGAATCTTTAGTGCATGCCAGCAGGGTCTACATAGATCAATTAATGCACAACACATTAGTACGCTTTAGAAATCACACCCCTCTACTCAGCATTACTGATCTGTGTAGACGAGCCATTAGATACAAGTAGCCATTTCCAGTGTCTATTGGATAAACAGTGATTTATTGATTTATTTATTTGCATTGGGGTGTTTTAATAGTGTTAATCTGTTAAAATCAGAAGCCCTATTTATATTGTATTTTACTTGTCTCCTAGACTGAAAAACTCCTTAGGGCAAGGACTTTGTCTTTCTGTGTTTTGTAAAAAGCTGTGGAGTCTTATGGCACTTTAGAAATAACTCATTATGCTTCCCATACATCCTCAGCTTCAAGGCTCTTGTAGATTCCTCAACACTGCCCTACGCATTATTAATGCTTCTGCTAAACAAAGATTAGAACACTTTTTTAAAAAACTTTGGTCACAAATGTCCACTAAAACCAGATCAGTCAGTTTGAGGCAAATAAGGTTCTATTTGTAATAAGTGACTATGTGAAAAGACAGACCTGTATTTATTTCAATAATTCTGACATGCTGCAAAGTAAGCAGCATATTCAAATATTAATGGTTTTCTATTTTGTGTTATCGTTGTATATCAATAGATAAGTAAAGTGAGCCATGCTAATGAAATGCAGGTCAAACCTTCCTTACTGAGATAAAAAATGCTCAATGACTTTTCTTACCTGGTCATGCATTAATGTTGCAAGATGGGTTGTTTTTCCCCCAGGTGCAGCACACATGTCCAGAATTCTCTCTCCTGGCTGAGGGTTTAAAACATGGCTTACAACTGCAGAGGGCAAGTTCTATCATTAAAACAAAAAGGTTGAATTAGTGCTTTAAAACAGTCTTGTTTCAGGGATGACAAATGTAGGGAATATATACTGAAAACCATCTCATCAAGCAGTGAAGGCACTTATATTTTTGTTGTTCTCTCCATTACAGAGCTTAAATAATTTCAATTTAAATACTTCATATTAAGTGTATATCTTTCACTTTCACTTTACATCTCTGGTTGCTTTTCTCCTAAACTTAAACATTAACAATTGAGGCGCTGGGCATTTCCTGGGGATTCATGACTGACTAAGGCAACTATAAAGCTAAATAAAACAGGATGATACTGTGACTGAGGTGGAGCTGCCCTGTAATACCATGTTGACCTGGTCATTAGGAGGTTTACTGTATGAATTTGTTTGTTTAGCTTAATGAAGGGCTGTAAAGAAAGCAACTAGGAAGCAGAATAATGGCTCAAAATAAACCATCCCTCAGCAAACATTTGAGGGTTGGTATGGGACAATGGCAGAGTCCTTAGCTCTGGTGTCTGCCTCAATCTCCTGTAGAGCCTACTGATCTGATTTGAGAAGCAGGGCTGAAGCCCAGCATCTGACAGAAACAAAGGAACTCTGACTGGATAAAAAGTGCCTTGGACTATGTCTACACTACAGCTTATGTGGGCATAATTTATGTTGCTCAAGGGGTGTAAATAAACCACCCCCCTGAACAACATAAGTTACACTGACATAAGCGCCGGAGTAAACCGTGGACCACAGAGGTGGTTTTATTATGCCAACAGGAGAGCTCTCTCCCATCAGCATAGAGCGTCTTCACCAGAAGTGCTGTAGTGGCACAGTTGCATCAGTGCAGCTGCAGCGCTGCATGTGTAGAAAACTCCCTCTCTCTAGTGGGGAGGCTAATTGAGGAGCTGTTCAGCCACCCAGCACCCACTGGAGCGCCTGAAGAAGTTAGATCTGCCTAGGCCACCCTCAGGAATGGCAAGCCTATAGACAAGATAAATTTGTGTGTATACTGTTTGTTTTAAAATCCCTTTTCTCTAAAAGCTTTGTTCCGACTGGTAAAATAAACAATCCTTTGGGTTTAAGGTGGCTCTCTGGTCACTATATACACCACTGATCACAAGGGAAGAACCAGAGTCAGAGCTTCTGAACAAGCACAGTCGATACACAAGGTATGGTAGCCCAGGGCCTGGTATGGAGTGGGACAACTGTGGAATTCCACCTGAAGACAGGGGAAGGCAAGAAGCCTGACACGAGGGGGCATGCTGAGAGAGACCAGGAAGGCGACAGAGATGCAGATTGTTTTGGTAGAGACAAGGTGTTTGTAGATTAGCTAATCACATTCCTTAATCTGAATACTAACGGAAATTTAATTTTTTACAAATGTAAACTACAGCTCCAAAGCTAGAGCTCCAATGCTAACATATTAGATCTCAAACACATGACTTAAGGCACTTGCAAGAAAGCATTGCACTGTATTAACAGAGCACATGTACTGGGGAGAAGAGAGGGTTACTCACCTTGTGCAGTAACTGAGGTTCTTCGAGATGTGTGTCCCGTGGGTGCTCCACTTTAGGTGATTGAGCACGCTGCACCTCTAGTCAGAGAATGTGCTCTCCCCGGCTTGCGCCTATTGTGGCAGTTGATTAGCGCTGTGCAACCACCCCTGGCCCTGCTCAGTTCCCTCTCTACCACAGAGGACTAATTAGAACTCCAAAAGTAGAGGGGAGGGGGGAAGGGTAGAGGAGCACCCACTGGGACACACATCTTGAAGAACCTCAGTTACTGCACAAGGTGAGTAACCCTCTCTTCTTCGAGTGATGTCCCTGTGGGTGCTCTACTTTAGGTGACTGTAGAGCAGTGCACCTCAGGTGGAAGGAGGGATCGGAGTTAAATCTGAATGGACGATAGGACCGTGTGTCCCAGCCGAGTGTCAGATGCATAGTGTTGTATGAATGTGTGGGGTGATGCCCAAGTACTTGCTTTGCATATGACATTAAAAGGCACGTCATTCAAGAAGGCTACTGATGTGGCTACTGCTCTTGTGGAGTGTGTTCTGACCTGTGAAGGGGGTTGTAGCCATGTTGACAGTAGCAGAGCTGGATGCAGTCCGAAATCCATTTGAAAAGTCTGCTTAGAAATGGGTTTGCCTTTGGAGCGTTCCGTGGTGGAGAGGAACAGCTTAGGAGTTTTTCTGAACAGCTTGGTCCGTTCTAGATGACTAGTGCCCTTCTAACATCCAGAATGTGGAATGTCACCTCTTGCCTATCCTTATGAGGTTTAGGGAAGAATGTGGGAAGATGGATGGGTCGGTTGAAGTGAAATGAAGAAGAGACTTCAGGCAAGAATTTAGGGTGGGGTTTCAGAGTGACCTTATTCTTAAGAAAAATTGTATATGGTGGGTCTGCCATAAAGGCCCCTATTTCTCCAACACGCCTCACTGATGTGATGACTACTAGAAAGGCTACTTTCATGGAAAGATGTAGTAGTGAACACGTAGCCAGAGGTTCAAATGGGGTAGTCGTCAGAGATCAAAGCACTAAGATGAGGTCCCACGAAGCAGTTGGGGCTCTAGGTTCTGGGTAGAGGTTACAAACGCCCTGCAGGATTCTTTTAGTAGTTGAGTGTGCAAAGATCAAAAAGTCATCCACCTTGTGGTGGAAGGTTGTAACTGCTGCCAGATGTACTTGTAATTAATTCATTGAGACTTGATTTCCTAAGGTAAAGTATGTAGTCCAAGACTATGGGCAGGGTAGAATTGGTGGCTTCCATTTGTTTGTTTAGGCACCACATGCGGAATCTCTTCATTTGTGGAGGTATGTCGAGCGTGTAATTGTCTGTCTGCTGTTTAGCAAGATATCCTTAACTTCTTTGGAACAGATCATCTCCTCACCTTGGAACCACTGAGGAGCAAGACTCTCGGATGGACCATCTCCAGGTTTGCAGAGTTTGGTCTGCATCCTAAGAGAGGGGATTTGGAAAAAGTGGAAGGACTTACAGTGGGCATGCTGACATCTGTTGTAGGTATAGATACCATGTTTGCCTGGGGATGCTGGAGCTAATCAGAATGACTTTGGCTTGATCAGATCTGATCTTGTGTGACTCTGGGCAGTAGCAGGATGGGAGGGAAGGCGTACAGGAGAGGTATGTCCCATTGGATGAAAAATGCATCTCCTCTGGATTTTGGTTCCAGACTCACTCTGGAGCAAAACGTTGGACATTTGCTGTTCCAGCTTGTGGCAAATAGGGAAACCCACATCTTTGAAATATGTTCTGGATCAGGGAGGTATTTATTTCCCACTCGTGGTCATGCGTGAACTTTCAGATTAGAGCGTCCACTGTGATGTTCTGAGATCCCGGTAGGTGGCTGATATGTTAATGTTGTGTCGGATGCACAATGTCCACAACTTTTTGGCCTCTGTGCATAGGGAGTACATTCTCGCTCCTCCCACACTGTCCGTCATGACCTGTATGGCTTTGTTTTCAACTAGAGGCATGAAGTGCGCACAAGCATTATGAACTGTTTGCAGTTCCAGAATGTTCATGTAGAGTGTTGATTCCGAAGAAGACCACCTGCCCTGTGCTGTGAGGCTGTCTAAATGGGCACCCCATCCCAGTAGGGAGGCGTCAGTTGTAATGATCATTTCGGGGCAGGGGGCAGAGGTGTAGGAAGGGGACACCTGCGCACACGTTGTACAGGTGGGTCCACCACTGTAACGAGTCCTTAACCTTAATTGGCATGCTTAGGAGTTTGTTCAGTCTGTGTTTGTGTGGGATGTATACTGTCCTGAGCCAAGCTTGCAGGCAGCGCATGCATAGTCTGGCATGATTTATGACAGAGGTTCTCAAACTGGGGGTCGCGAGGTTATTACATGGGGGTTGCGATCTGTCAGCCTCCACCCGAAACCCTGCTTCGCCTCCACCATTTATAATAGTGTTAAATAAAAAAAAAAAAGTGTTTTTAATTTACAAGGGGGGTCGCACTTAGAGACTTGCCATGTGAAAGGGGTCAACAGTACAAAAGTTTGAAAACCACTGACTTACGACGTATGTGGTCGCCGCCATGTGACCTAGTAGATGAACGCAGGTCCTAGCGGATACTTGTAGACTGTGTATCGTGGTATCGATCAAGTCTGTCAGGGCAACGACTCTCTGAGGTGACAGTGATGCTTTTGCCTCTATAGAGTTTAGAGCAACAGAGGGTCCTGTGGCACCTTTAAGACTAACAGAAGTATTGGGAGCATAAGCTTTCGTGGGTAAGAACCTCACTTCTTCAGATACATCTGAAGCTTATGCTCCCAATACTTCTGTTAGTCTTAAAGGTGCCACAGGACCCTCTGTTGCTTTTTACAGATTCAGACTAACACGGCTACCCCTCTGATATAGAGTTTAGGTGGGCCCCAATAAAGTCCAGTTGTTGAACTGGTGTTAGCGTTGACTTTTGAAGGTTTCTTTGTAGACTGAGATCTATGAAAAGTGACATTGTCTTTTGCATGGCTTCGATGGCGTCTTCTCGAGTGTGAGCCTTGATTAGACAATAGTCTAAATATGGGTAGATCATGACCTCCTGCTTGCTCAGGTGGGCCGCCACCACTGCTAGAATTTTGGAAAACACTCGAGGGGCCATCGAGAGACTAAAGGGTAGTACCGTGTATTGGAAGTGGTCCTGTCCCAATACAAATCGGAGGAATCGCCTGTGTGTTGGGTGCATGGTGATGTGAAAATATGCATCTTGCAGGTCAAGGGCTACAAACCAATCCCCTCATTCCACAGAAGGAAATATTGTTGCTAAAGTCACCATCCTGAAATGTTGTGTTTTGATAAATTTGTTTAGTTTCCTGAGGTCGAGAATAGGTCTCCATTCCCCAGACTTCTTCTGTATTAAAAAATAATGGGAATAGAAGTCTTTCCGGCTGTGTTGTACTGGCACTGGTTCTACCGTGCCTAGTTGCAGAAGGTGTTCTATTTCCTGCCTCAAGAGTGACTCGTGAGAGGGGTCCCCTGAAGAGGGG